GCCAGATTTTGTCTGAGAGTTTCCTAAAGTCTTTAGTAAAGAGGAATTCAACCAGCTTCCTAAATACTATCCCTGAGACTATACAATTGAATTGACTAAGGGTTTCTAACCTAAGGATTGTAAGGTCTACTTACTTAACAGAGACAAGTAGGAGGTGCTTGATGAGTTCCTTTGGGAAAATCTTCAGAACAGCTGGATCTGACCCTTAAAGTCCCTTATGGCCTCCCCTTTCTTCTTTGTCAAAAAGAAAGATAAGAAGCTCTACCTAGTCTAGGATTATTGTTGTCTTAATAAGGGTACTGTCAAAAACAAGTACCTACTCCCCCTGATTCAGGAGCTCATTAATAAGACACATACATCTAGGGTTTTCACTAAGTTAGACATTTGATAGAGATACAATAATATTCAGATCCAAGACAGAGATGAGTGGAAGACTGTATTCTGAACTAATTGTAGATTGTACAAACTGACTATAATGTTCTTTAGACTAACCAACTTGCTTACAACATTCTAGTCATTCATGAATCACATCCTTACAGATCTGATTGACTCAGAGTATGTTAGTGTGTACCTAAACAACATTCTGATCTTTACCTGAACAGTTGAGTACTATTACTAACTGATTCAAGTAGTTCTACAATAGCTCTAAGATAATAAACTGTTCCTCTAAGAAGTAAAGTACTCTTTTGTACAGGAGTCAGTAGATTATCTAGGCTTTGTGATTGGTGGAGAAGAGGTCTGTATGGATCTGACAAAGGTAACTGTAGTTCAGAACTGGTTACAACCTTAGAACCTGAAACAGGTCTAAGCATTTCTTAGGTTTGTAAACTACTACTAATACTTTATTCAAGACTTTAGTACTATTACCTGGCCCCTTCACAATCTTACTAGTAAAGATGTTCCTTAGTAATAGGATGATTAGTAGCAGTCTGTGTTTGAGTCCCTCAAGTAGGCTATTACTAGCAAGCCTATATTAGTAGTTCTAACAGTTGTAGACAAGTTCTGAGTCAAAGCTGACTCTTCTAACTTTGTGAATAGAGTAGTACTGTCCTAGTTTATTGACAGAAAGTAGTGTCTGATAGTATTCTGATCAGAATCCCTCTCTGTAACAGAACAGAACTACCCTATCTATAACAAGGAACTCCTTACAATTGTCTGTTCCCTAGAGGAGTAGTGTTAATATCTCCTTAGTACTGTATAGAAGTTTGAGATTTAGAGTAATCACCTTAATCTCTAGTACTTCTGAGCACCTTAGAAGCTCAACTACTACTAAGCCTACTGAATGTTAGAACTGTAGGACTTTGACTTTGTACTGACTCACAAACCTGGAATGTAAATAACAAAAGCTGATTTACTCTCAAGATAAGTAGGTTATGAAAGGGGGGAGAATGATAACAAAAATCTTGTTCTTCTAGACAATTCCTATTTTGTGTCTGAGACAATCTGAAAGATCTGACTTGAATCTAAGAATGTTGACTTTGTCACCTGTATACAGTAAGCTCTAAGACACACACAAGACCAGGTTGTAGTAAAGTAGCTAGAGAAGTAAGTGAGGGATTAGGAGGAGGATAAGGATGAACAGGTTTACTAGGAAGGCTGACTGTACATTCTAAAGGATTAGAAGCTGTAGGAGGACATTGTCTGAGCTCATTACAACAATCTGACTGTAGAACATCTAGGCTAACACAAAATGTAGGAACTCATCACTTGGAACTACTGGTAGCCCAGAATGTAGAGGGAAATCCTAAAGTATATGACTGGTTGTAATATGTACTAACAGACTAAGGCCTACTAGACAAGGGTTTAGACTCCCCTACATTTGTATCAGATCCTAGATCACACTTAGGAAGAAGTCTTAGTAGACCTGATTAGTAAGCTACCCAAGTCTTAGAGTTACAATACTATCTGTGTAATTATTAACTGATTCTCTAAGTAAGTCTATACAGTTCTGACCTGAACAGAACTCACTTCTGAAAGTATAGTGTACATTTATTAGGATCATGTCTTCCAGTTGTATAGACTCCCTCAGAAGCTCATTCATGATTGTAAACTGTAATTTGAGTTGAAATTCATACAGGACTTGTATGTACTTCTCAGAATTTAAGGAAACCCTTCTACTACCTATTACTTACAGACTAATGGTCAAACTGAGTGAGTCAATCAGGAGATTGAACTCTACCTCTGAATGTTCATCAATCATTAGTAATTGGATTAGTCTGAATGGTTAGCTCTAACAGAATTTGTACACAATAACTAGTAACACTCTACAACAGGACAGTCCCTGTTCTTCCTCAATTATGAGAGACATTCATACTAGGGGACAGTTCTAAACTGGAACAGTAGTTCTGAATCTGTAACAGACTTTGTAGAATGGATGTACAGAACTAGGGAGGACACATAAGCTCTTTTGGAAAAGGTAGTACAGGTTATGAAGCAGAACTATAATTAGAAGAGGTCTATAGCTAAGGATTACCAGCCTAGTAACAAAGTTATACTAGAAGCTACTAACCTGACCACAGATTACCTAATGAAGAAGTTGGACAACAAGCACTTCAGACCCTTTGTCATTAAGAAGAAGGTCAGTACTACTGTCTACAAACTCTAACTTCTAACAATATAGAAGTACATACACCTAGTATTCAATAAGGTTCTGTTGTCTCAGTACTACAATCCTAGTTTTCCTTTGTAACAAAGACTCCCTCTACCTCTACTAGAACTCATCAGCTCTAAACTGGAATACAAAGTAGAGTACATAGTGGATACTAAGCTAGTGTGTAGAAAGCTCAAGTTCCTTATCTACTAGAAGGGATACCTGGTTGAAGAACACACTTAGAAACCTACTAAGAATCTTACTCATACTACTAAGGTAATCCAAGACTTCTATCAACTTCATCTGGGTGCTCTGCATCAACTCCACCTTACAGATTTCCAAACCCTACTGTTCTAACCTATACCTGAGCTGCTAACCAAGCCTAATGTTTACTAATTAGGACAATTGGTTTTAGAGGAGGGGTAATGTTACAGTTCTCTACTCTTATACCTTTAGTTCTAAGGGTTCTACACCCTTCTGTACTAGAACTTGGGACTTCTGTCCCTCAGGGGCACTGTCTATAGACTATATACATACTGACTCTTACTACTACCCTTCCTTACTTCATCATTCTATTCCTTTAACCACCCCTTCATTCTTTGTATTATTCTATAGTCTCTTACCCTTTGTCCATCCCTTCATTCTTTGTACCTTTATTTTTGACATTCCTTTCTTTCATTCTTCATAGCTTATCATTCTTAAGTAGCTCATACTTCCTGAGTACTCTTGTATAGTTTAGTATATATAGGCATATAAGATCAGACTAGTCCTGTAGTCTTGATCTTGTCTACTCTAGATAGTTCTGTACTCTTAGGCTCACTCTATATACTCTACTCTTGTCTCACTCTCTCTCTCTACCTGTTCTGCAAGTTCTGACTATGTTCTGGTACTTGTGTTCTGTATTTCTGTTGTGTAGGATAGTTGTAGCCTGGGTCCCCTCACTGAGCCTTTGGGTCCCCTCTATACTGTTACTGACAAGTTTGTTATTACAAGCAAAAGAGTACACATTTGGACATATTCTACCAATATGAGTGTAAGGCACTACATTTGTAGGAACTAGTCTATTGGAAAAATCAAGGACATAGTAGAGGAATTTTGGAATACATCTCTGCTACCTATTATTGTATGACTATCCTACAGGAGCAGAGAAACATACAAGGTTAGTTAGAAGCTACAACACTAATACATTCTATTGAGGAAGAAGGCTATAGCTTTGTCAATTAGGGATTTACCTCTACACTTCCCAAAGACACAGGAGAAGAGAATATTTACAATTACTATACTGCCAGAATTTCTACTTCTGTACATATTAATCTATACTGTGTGTCTCAGAGTACCCAAGAGCCAAAACACCATATCTCCCCAGGAACTCTACCAATTCTCTTTGAAAAGTGTTGTATCAATAGTAACAATCAAGAGGCAACTTTTCTACTAATTGACTATACAGTAATATTGACTATGTTTAATTCTATTAATGTTTTATCTAGCTTCACATAGTTTGGAACCATGCTACCCACTGTCCAGAACACTACCACTGTCTCAATACACACCAGATTGACTTTAGATCACTTCAGAGAGGCAGTACTACAGTACAACAATGTTTCCCATATGTATGGGCAAGGTATTTTGTTATTTACTTGTTACTAACTATTACTTTTAAGTAAGTTTTCTGCCTTTTCTACTGATTTTTAGCATTTAGGACTAAATGCTAGAGGGCAAGTGTAAGGATTTGATTTACTGGTTTGTATTTTATTATTACTACATTGCTGATTGTGTCAGATCATTGTGCAGTAGGACCCACAAGTGCATATATTCTCATTGTAGTTAGTTACACTTCCTCCTCATGTATCTACACATGTATACCCCTATAAAAGACAGTATTGACCACTGGGTAAAGGGGATTCTTTTCCCCTGACCCCTTGCTTGAGTACTAGGTTATCCCAGTCAGTAGTTGAGTGAACTAAGGGCGATTAGAATTCTCTTGTGAGGAACAGTGAGTTTCCTTACACTGCTAAAGGCCTTTCCTCTATCATTCATCCTCCTGCCAGTGTTTTCTTCTGGGGACGCTCTAGTGTAGTCCAACAAATATCATACAGGCGGTTCTCTCGCACGTCGTTAGCACAAGATAAGAAGGTTGCATCCCCGTCATTTGGGCCAGTTGGCGTCGAGGCAGCACTCCGTGCCTCATCCGATCCATCCTTCAAACCTAAGCCAACTCTGTTGGAAAAGGAGTTCTCACTTGCTGGACATGTGGCGGTTGTTACTGGTGCGCAGCGTGGACTAGGTCTCGAGGCTGCTGAGGCACTTGCAGAAGCTGGTGCTACAGTGTACTGTTTAGATCTGCCTGCAGAGCCAGACAAGAAATTCATCGTTACGCAAGACTACGTGTCGAAACTCGGACTTGCTCGAAACGCTCGTCTGGAATACGCATCCGTGGACGTCACAGACCAGAAAGCTGTATGGAAGGTCTTTGGTGACATAGCGGAGAAGGAAGGACGTTTGGACGCCTGCGTCGCTGCTGCGGGTCTTTTGCGCGCAGAGAAGTGCTTGGACTACCCTGCAGAAGACTTCCAGAAGGTAATGGACGTGAACGTAAACGGCGTCATGTTTACCGCACAAGCTGCAGGTCGCCAAATGGTGAAATTCGGGAGGCCCGGAAGCATTATCCTGATCGCGTCGATGACAGGAAGCGTATCTATAAAGGTAAAGAGCTGCCTTACTCGTAGTCAGAGGTGTACATGGTCGTAGATTCTTACTCGATCGTTGTCACATTTACGTAGGGACAGAACTGGCTTGCATATGAAACGAGCAAGTCCGCTGTAACGCAAATGGGCCGTAGTATGGCATGTGAGCTTGGACCGGAGGAGATCCGAGTGAATACTCTGTCCCCAGGATTTATTTACACAGCGTACGTTCCGGTATGGTCTTCCGCGACATGCACTCATACTTTGCTGACGTTGTTATTTCAAAGTCTGACAGCAGCATTCCTTGACGCACATCCTGGTTTAAAAGAGGAATGGTCCTCCTTCAACCCGCTCGGCCGAATTGGAAGGCCAGATGAACTTCGTGGCGTCATTGCGTGGTTGGCCTCTGATGCATCATCCTTCTGCACGGGTAGCGAGTAAGTAGTTGATCCCACAACTATTTCTTTTACTCACAGGAATTTCTACTGTTGCAGCATCCTTGTCAGTGGAGGCCACCACTCATGGTAAATTTCGGGGAAAGGGACGAATACGTTGATTTCTTGTATTACATCAATGGAGAGTATAAGATGTGAAGAACAAGTTGGGAGTGCATGTGCATTTGTTATCATTACCTAACCTAAGAAATAATTGAGAGTCAGATTCTAAGAACGGCTATGTCGATCTTGCTATATTTGGTCTCGCAGACTCAAATCGTTTGAACCGCTCCTCCTCCTCTAGTCACGACGAGTCTCACGTCCTTGTCCACTCGTCATTATATTTGGCCTATCGCCATACAAAGAAAAAATATATCTGGAAATCGAGCTAGTGTCACTACAAATGTTCTTCTAACGGCGGCGAGAATGTCGAGATGATTGCGTTTTGGGTGGCCCCGAATTGAATGAACTGAGACAATGTACGGTACGTCGCACGTCTCCACCTTGTAGCGTGTTGACCTTATATGTTCACTATTGACAGAATTGTGATATGGGATGACATCATGCTGTATCCTCGGGAATATGTGCATTGGCAGGGAAACTCAAATCCTCGTCCCACCTTGCAAGGCTTCGATGCATTGTGAAGGAAGTTCTTGCTCCACACCTATGTTCACATTCCATGGCTCAGGATCCAAGGTCTTCTCTATCCGTTCCTCTTACTCTAATCGGGGTCGATGCTGCTCTCCGCGCAGCATCTAATTCTGACTCATGTTCAACGCCGAAGGCGACTTTGCTGGAGGAGGAGTTCTCGCTTTCTGGAAGCGTTGCAGTCGTTACCGGTGGACAACGTGGATTGGGCTTGGAAATGGCTGAAGCACTAGCAGAAGCTGGTGCGACTGTGTATTGTCTCGATCTACCCGCCGAACCCGACAAATCGTTTGGCTTAACGCAAGAATACGTATCAAAGCTAGGACTGCCCAGCGGTTGTCTTGAATATGCCGCCATGGATGTAACTGATCAAAAGGGTATGTGGGGTATCATTGAGGAGATAGCGGAGAAAGAAGGCCGTTTGGATGTGTGCGTTGTATGCGCTGGTCTCACGAACGGAGACAGTTGTTTGGAGATGTCTGCGGAGGAATTTCAAAAAATTATGGACGTCAACGTGAATGGTGTCTTTTATACGGCGCAAGCGGCCGCCCGCCAAATGATTAAGTTGGGGAACTCCGGAAGTATCATTCTCATCTCATCGACAGCAGGGCGCGTTGCCGTCAAAGTAAGTGCTTTGCTACCATTACATTCGATTTAGAGATTCATACCTGAGTAGGGCAAACTCGCGTACAGCGCAAGCAAGGCTGCCGAAATTCAAATGGCTCGTAGTTTAGCTTGTGAACTTGGTCCTCACAGAATCCGTGTCAATACACTCTCCCCAGGATACATCCGTACTGCGTATGTTTAAGTCGATAATTTGCGTTATATTCACTGACATGGTTAGTTATTCAAAGCCAGATGGCCGAGTTTCTGGATATGAATCCAGAAATAGAGAAAGAATGGTCATCTCAAAGCCTGCTCGGCCGTATTGGTAGGCCCCATGAGCTTCGCGGTGCAATCGTATGGTTGGCGTCCGATGCGTCATCGTTCTGTACTGGAAGCGAGTGTGTGCAAAATATCACTTAGCAGTGTCGAGTCTGACTTTCTTATTTACAGCATCGCTATTAACGGAGGTCACTATGCATAGCTACATAAACCTTCAGCACGACTTTACTCTTCAAAATAAATGATCGGTTTTTCAATTCTGTTACGTCAAATAGCTCATTGTACAGTCTCATTCATACTCGCGAAGATACTTTGTTATAAATACAACAGATTTAAGACACTGGTCGAATGGACATTAAAGACACGAAGAATCGACAAGTCAGTGTGAGTACGAACCTGGTGGAATGTCTACCACATCTGGATTAAGGTACCATGCTCCTATCAGACAGTCTTCAGTAACTCTATCTCGGCCGGGTTGGTAAATGGAAGACTCACGATCTCCGGTCATGTGTTTCTCATTGTAAGTCGAACCATCTCCTAGCCAGTAAAAACGATTCTTCGATTCACTGTGTTGTTCGTAATTGAAGTCTTCCCAGCGAGGATCCTGATAGGTCTTGAACTCGTGCAAACTCGAGCCTATTCGGGAAATTCTTCTCCATTTCTTTCCACCTAGGACTCGATGGACGTACCTGGCCAGAGGCCCGTAATTCTACCTTCTGCCTTTCCCATCTTATACCACGACCGGCAATGTTCATTGAAGACAGTCTAGACTGGAGTTTATTATGATACAAAAATGGTCCGTCTGCACACTTACAGTCTTAAAATATGCCTAGAGTTCGGCTTTAAGGATGAATATTCGCTATACAAGTTCAAAAGCTCACTTCAAGGTACTCATCAAAATCGGCGACGGCCTCCGCTTTCGGCTCTATACTCTTCAAATGCTCCCTTTGCAACTTCTTCGCTGCTTTGATAATGTATTCGACCTGTGCTTCTAGGACAGGGAGGAAGGAGCCCGCTCCAAACACGGAATTCGGACCGAAAGTCGAAAACCAGTTTGGAAATCCGTTAGTGCAGATCGACAGGTATGTCTCAGGATGAGGCGTGAAGTGCTCGCGGAGTGTCTTTCCCCCTCTTCCGATTACCTCAAATGGATATAGGTAGGTTAAATCGTATCCTATTATGAGGGCAATCAGAGACGGAAAGTCGAAGACCAGTTCATCGATCGCTCACCTGTGGCACAGACGATAACGTCCAAGTCTAGGTGCGCCCTGTCCTCTAAGTCCACACCGGTCTCTGTTATTCTAGATATTTTCGTTGGAACGAACTCCACCTAAGGGTTTCAAATTTGCTTAATGATCCGCGGAAGTGGGAATTGGTAAACGCACATTATCCTCTTGCACGGCCTCTAGATATCCTGGTCCTGGAACTAGACGTCTACACGCTACTGCAAAATCTGGTTTCACTTGATAATGGACATGCATTAGGACGAGGATGGAGAAGTAACCGATATTGCTCACAATATTCTGCGATCCACGGTTTCTTCTGCAATCTCGACATCATATGCTGACTGAATGCCCGTCGAGCATTCTCCTGATATTCGGATCCTTTAATAGTCAGGTAGTGCATTGACTATATGCACATTTATCAGCCCTGTTTCTTAAAAATAATTATGCACTTACATTTAATCCAGCTTCTAGTTCATGTCGAAAGTGTTTGTAAAACACTGGATCTTTCATCTTTTCTTTGTCTACATCCGAGAAAATGTCTACAAAGCGCGACTTCAGATAGTCAAAAGCAAAGAGGTATGAAGAACATACAGTTACTATCTGCTGAGTCGTGGTCCAAGAGCTCGACGGTCTTTTCGATGAGGAATGAAGGTGAGAGCCATACAGGCCCTCTAACAAAGTTGAACAGTTGACCGACGTGAGGCTGAAGCGCTGGAACTATCTGTATTGCGGCTGATCCCTGCACAAATGAGTCAGTAAAACTGAACTGGTCGCCAAGACAAGCAGTAAGTAAAACGCACGCCGCCTATTACCCCAACTTTCTTGTTCTTCCAGTTAGACACGCTTTCTTCCCATGAAGCTCCTTTTTTCGAATCCCATTCGGCCGAATGCATAAGCTTTCCTTTAAAGCACCTCAGACCATCGATATCGGGCCAGGTCCAGCGGCTCAACGAGCCAACGCCTAAGAGAACAAGATCGGCCGTGTCATCTACAACTTCATATTCTCCAGACTCCAGGACGGGGCGTCGTAGCTTTAAGTGCCATTTACCCGTTTGCTCGTCGTATTTTGCTTGTATAAGTTCGTGCTGCAGCTTGATGTATCGCATAAGATCATACTTTTCGACTATACGCTTTAAATCCCCGAGGATTTCTGATCCAGGTGAATAAAAGGCCGACCAATCTGTCTAGATTCCAATACCAAACTTGAATAAGCGTGGGTGATTAGAGATAGCTATCTAACCTTTTCTTCGAAGGGTAGTTGATACTATAAAGTTTATGAATAATAAAATAATTCGTCTTATGCTCAACAACCTAACTCACGCAATGCGAGGGATAATCACAGGCGACCCCCTGACAGTTGCGAAACAGATTACATTAGTATAACGAAATGCAAATTGGGATGTGTCCGTACTGGATATTTATTCGTGTACCAAGTTCCTCCAATTCCTGCATTTCTGTCGTATATCGTCAAGTCCAAGTTTGACATTCTCTGGGGGAACCTAGCTCGTCGTTGGATTGGAAGTGCATGCTCGACTATTACAAACGAACTAACCTAATCCCCGCAATTATACCAGCGTATCCTGTTCCTATCACAACGACTTTGAAAGGTCTATCTTCATCCATGCTCCTATTTCCGAGCTTAAAGTCGGCCTTCGGCGTCTTAGTCTCTAATGATAGCCTGATCAAGTCCTTGTGCAGCAGGGAAAAGGGTCAATGGTACACATACCTTTTGCATTGCCTGATCCATCAGTGCTTTCGTAGTTAACAGCTGGCTTTGGATAAGATGAAGTACCGTTGATCATCATATCTTGCTTCTCCACAGAAGAAATAATCTTGAAGGTATGGGCTATACAACTTAGAGGGGCGAGGAAACGATACGCAGCAGTGGAGAACCGGCCTCAGGTTCAGAGTTGTGATTTATTAAGTCTCCGCTGCAGGTTAAGTTTCAGCTGATTGAATCGTTTTGCACATTCCATGTCCCATCTGGAGACGCCGAGTCGACCGAGTGGACATAGTGCTCTTCTACGTACAAGAGCTCGAGTGGGAAGTATACCTTCCATTTGATATCGGCCACCGGAAGCCTTGTGCTTCATTACGAACAAAGTAGTAAAGAAGTCAGGGTACGGTTTTACAACGACAGAGAATGGCAGTCAGGAGCTTAACCTTGTAGTGGAGAAGTGGAAACCTTACTATACGGAGAGAGCGAGTTTGAGCGCCCTGAATGCTGGGGTGGCATGATCAAGGATGATATAGAAAACGACCGATCACCCAGCCCTGATCGCATACGGGCATTGAAAACTTTGACCTCAGAAAGTTTGGAATGGTTCATAGAAAGGTTAAGTGTGATTGCGAGTTATCTCATAGGCATGATCGAGCGATGCGTTTGCCTTCTGAGGAGGGATTTATATTAAAAGTCCAAATTCTTGAAACACGGAAGATAGCACGATAGAGAACAGCATGAAAGTACATAGCTAAAGTGTAAGGAGAAAAGTCTACTCACAAGCTCAAACGTAAATGTACCAATCCGTGTAAAACAGTTACCAAATATCTGTCATCGAGCAATAGATGTACCAGTAAACAGAGGACCGAAAGCAGTGGATACGGTTCAGCATGACAACATTAGTACATGACCATTGCGTTTATGGCACTAAAGGTTTGTCAGCCTATGCCGTCCAGTATTGTTGTGGAAACGCGCACCAGGAGGTATATCGACTTCCTCTGGACGGAGATACCAAGCACCTGGAAACAGTATAATCAATATTTAATCGTTATCAATACTAACGGGCCGAAACTGACGATCGCCGACCATGTATTTCTCGTTGTGCGTTGATCCGTCGCCGAGACAGTAAAAGCGGTTCTTCGATTCACCAAGTTGCTCGTAGTTATAATCCTCCCATCGTGGTTCCGTGATTGTCTTGATATGATGCAAGGAAGAGCCTTAAAATTGGATCAACTTGATTGCACACACTTGGAATGAGAGGAATAAGAGTGGGATATTCACCAGGCCAAGCACCCGTTATCCGACCGTCTCTTGTACCCATCTTGTACCACGAACGACAATTCTCAGAGAAAACGGTCTATTCATCTAGTGAGAATCAAAGTTCTTCAAAATATGAGAAATCCTCACGGTCTTGAGGTATGCCTGTGATCCACAATTAGACACGCATTCCGGATGAAAATTCGCGATATAGAACTTACTTCGAGATACTCGTCAAACTCCGCAATCGCCTCCGGTTTCGGCTCAATGCACTTGAGATGTTCTCTTTGTAGCTTCTTTGCAACCTTAATGGCGTATTCGACTTGAGTTTCCAACATCGGGAGGAATGATCCGGCGCCAACGACAGAGTTTGGACCGAACGTCATAAACCAGTTTGGGAAACCATCCGTGCATAGCGAAAGGTATGTTTCAGGGTGTGGAGTATACCGCTCGCGAAGTGTCTTTCCTCCTCTCCCGATAACTTCAAATGGATAAAGGTAAGATGTGTCAAATCCTGAAAGCATTTAAGTAAAAGAACCATCTTTGTATATTAACATCCTACCAGTCGCACAAACGATCACGTCTAAGTCATGGCTTGTTCCGTCGGCGAGATCAATACCCCTCTCAGTTATCCTACTAATCGGTGTTGTGACAAAGTCGACCTGAGCAATGTCTATTAGCAGAATAACAAGAGGAATGTCTAGGAAATGTACATTATCTTCCTGTAAAGCTTCAAGATATCCAGGTCCAGGAGTTAACCGTCTGCATCCAATTGAAAAGTCAGGTGACACTGGAAGTACAAGAGTCAATGCTCAATGCAGAAAGTCGTGAGAACGAAACAAGAAACGCACAGTGGTCCGCGATCCAAGGTTTCTTGTGTAGTCTTGACATAACGTGCTCTTTGAATGCCTTGCGGGATTCCTCTTGCATTTTTGATCCCCTGATAGTCAGATAATGCATAGACTGGACTGATATTCAGATGGACATCTTCTAAACTGAGAAAAACTGCAGGACTACTGACGTTCAATCCGACCTCGAGTTCATATCGGAAGCGTCTAAAGAACTCTGGGTCCTTGAGCCGCTCCTTATCTTCGTCCGTAAAGACATCTAATAACGATAATTGTGTAAGAGCCTCATGTATCACAATAGTGTCGAAATTCAACTCACAGTTGCTCGATGTTGAGTCTCGACCTAATAGTTCAAGGACTTTGTCGCTTAGGAACGACGGCGAGAGCCACAGTTTTTCGCGTACGTAGTTGTAAAGCTGCCCTACGTGTGGTTGCAACGCAGCAACAGTCTGAATAGCGGTCGACCCCTGAAAGCGGGGTTGAGTGCTGCGAAAACGGTATGATAGAGCCACCAATTAAGCATACAGAGCCAATAACTCCAACACGCTTGTCTTTCCAGTCGGCAACGCTTTCTTGCCACGAGCTGTAATTTCGATCCCAGTTCGCGGAATGCATGATTTTTCCCTTGAAGCTTTTAATGCCGTCGATATTTGGCAACTTCAACCTACTGAGCGAACCGACGCATAGAAGAACAAGGTCTGCCACGTCATCCACAACCTCGAACTCTTCGTCGATTGATGCAGGGCGACGCAGCTTCAAATGCCATTTGCCATTCTGTTCGTCATATTGTGCGTGTATAAGTTCGTGCTGTAGCTTAATGTATCGCATGAGCTTATATTTTTCGACGACGCGCTCCATATCTGCTCGAATTTCGGGCCCTGGTGAGTAGAATGCGGACCAGTCTGTCTGCAGAATGCATTATTTAATGCACCGAGTGAAAAGCGTAGAGAGTTTCTGTACCTTTTCCTCAAATGATAATTGATACTAATATTGAAAATGGGTATGAAATGTGACAATGGAAATTGGCTAAAAATAGGAACGTACACAATGGGAAGGATAGTCGCAGGCAGCACCCTGTCATTGGCCGAATTGAGAAACATTTGAATGATTGCACAATCGAGACCGTAATACTCACCGGATACCTATTTTCATACCAAGTCCCGCCTATTCCAGCATTCTTTTCGTAGATGGTAAGGTCCAGGTTGTTCATTCGTTGAGGAAATCTATTCAAACATCATTTCACGTGAATTAATCCTGACCGGCCGAGTAACACTAACCTAATCCCAGCAATTATCCCACTAAACCCCGCACCTATAACGACGACCCTGAACGGTCTGTCCTCGTCAATGGACATACTCCCGAGCTTGAAGTCCGAGGCATGTGTAGTAGCATCATCTTCGAGATTGATACTCTTGGCAGTATTGACGAGTTTGTTCACAGGAACGTCTTCTGGCGTGATTGGCCCAGGGATACTCTCAGCGCTCGGAGGTGAATTGGAGCCCGTCGAAACAGCAGAAGGGATATCAACCTTAATGCCGTGCTCGTCCATAGTAATGTCAAAGCAATAAGCTCGATACCTGCGGAGCTGAGAACAAGATGTGTCTAGTGACGGTGCAGTTGTACTAAAAATCAAGTACGACCCGTTCACTAGGCATTGATATACGCGTGAACGTAATCGACCGTTTCCACACTAACATGCGTTATCTTCTCCGATGGGGCCGATGGAGGATCACAAAACGCGTGTTACTACGAGTATAAGCTTTGAGGAATGAGATGTCCAGTTTGAGCTATTATCATTACCAAACTTCCCATGAATAGATGGCGAGGGAGCAGGAGAAGACAGAAGCGAAGGCCATGTGAGGAGCCTCACCAGTCAGAAGACAGTCCTCCACACGAGAAGCAAACGACCCATTTCATCGGAGTAGATTCGTGGAGAACCCGCTATACTTGGCAGTGCAGTGTATTACATAGCCAGAGGAAGTTCACAATGGATCAAGCGGCGCTCAAGGCTCAAGGCCTCAAGGAGCATTACTGCAACAAGCTGAAGCTGCTAAACTGCAAGCAACACACCGTGCGAATAGGCGACTTCAATTAATTGGCAGAGGGACTTGCAGAGAGAGATCGGCATCAGAAAAGTAAGATCCCGTGTGCAGCGCAAGTCCCTCAAAATTGAAGTGACGACTTGCAGAGGATCTGCAAGTACTTAGATAATAATGTTTATATAATTAAATATAATTATTTTAATCTCAAAATGGAAATTTTGGATTCAGATGTGAGACATGAGTGCTGTTACACAAAAAACAGAAATTGTCCCCCCGTCATCCTCAGACGTCTAAGATGGACCCAAATAACCCCCAGGATCCTTCTCAGCATCAAAATCAGCCACAGACACTAGTAACAGTTCTACCAGGCATGCAAATGCATGCATTTAACCAGCCAACTCCCATACATACCCAGCTTTGACCAGGTTTCTTGTCTCCTGATTCACCTAGTCCTGCCCCAAGTGCTCATGCACTTGGTCAAGAATTTCCTGAGAATGCTTCAGCTCTGTTAGCATTCAATACTCAACAATTTCAACAGTCTCTGGGTCTTCAGATGCAGAATTCAGCTCACAATGCATCTCCAGCTCTACAGCCGAAACAAGAAAGCGTGTCTCCAGCACCTGAGAAGTCAAAATATAAGGGCAAGGAGAAAGAGAAACCTGCACTGAGAAAGAAAGGGAAAGGTACGCACCATCTCTCTGCATTACTTTTTATGTGCTAGGCTTCCTTTTCAGCATATTTTTACTACAACATACACTTACTCTTTTCAAGGGTCATGATCAGGAAAGAATGCACGTCCTTCTGGTATTTCAGACACAGAGACAAGCCAGTTAGACAATAAACTGAAGGAAGAGGCTGAGATCATTGAACAGAAAGACACAAAGGGGAAAGCGTCTTGGGACAAGGAGAATGAGAAGAAACTTGCTGAATACATCTGTGCACCAGAAAGATGGTCAAAAGCCCAGACCTCCATTAAGAAGTATTGCCAAGAGGTATGTAGACACCTCTCTGCATTACTTTTTATGTGCTACACACCATTAAACTTGTTTTTAGGCTTCCCAGACAATATTGGATCAATATACTACTGATCAAGTGATTACAAAGTGGCATTTGTTGTTTAGGACATATAAGGACACAAAAAGTGAGTAACTCATTTATGTTGTACATCAAAATTGCTTACCCGAGCTTGTTAGAGTGGCAAAACCATACAGGAGGAGGTGATGGGGACAGGGAGATACCAGGCATGCAGACTTCTGTAGCAACATGCAAGAAATTTGCAGAAGGAGCAATCTTTGCTATCATTGACTGAGTGTGAGTCTTGCAAGCTCTTAGGCTCGTTTAATTCGTATGGTTCATACAAAGGCTTACCTGTTATTAGGGCGGATGGATGTCCAGACATCGAGAGGCCCATTGAATTCAGTTCTGGACATAGCTTTGAGGATATTGAGGCAGATGTTGAGGAGGACGAGAAGAAACACAAGAAATCTGATCCTGCTGCCACATTCTCCAAAGTTGTCAGTGAGGCCCTGAAACTTGCACAAGAACGACAAGAAAAAATGACAGAGCTCGAATCTGAGCAATTTGTGTACCAGAAACGAAAGGATGAGAGGGATGAAGAGTACCAGAGGAAAAGAATGCAGTCTGAAGATCGAGCTGCAGAAATACGGATGCTATGCGATTTGGAAGACCTGCACAACTCGAAATTAGATGGATACTGTGCACTGCATGATTCAGAGGATCCAGTAGAGAAGGAACTTGCTGTAGACCTTCAAGATGAGCTTCGAGAGATAGCACAAAGGATCAGGGAACTTCGACAGGGTGGAAATTAGCATGGGCTGCATCGAGAGACTGGTTTCTACTATATGCTTTGAATAACACTTAAACTACAGTTCTTGTAACGTTCAGTAAGGTACTTGATATTTAAATGTCAATTCATTCATTCCTTCCATGGAGCGTGCTAAGTTACAGGATAGGAAAGGCATTTTTATTGCTAATGTGTGTCACAAATGAGTACAGAAAGTACCTAGATATTCCTGCAGTTCATGCGTTCGAGCAGATTCTTCCTGTGTAGCATGCCTATATTATAAAGCTTGTTTCCACCTATGTGATTTATATTCCTGGCCTGTTCTGCTGCCATTTGGTCTTCACTGCCTCGAGCAGCAGCAAAAAGGCCTGTGTTATCATGACTGTCGTAGTTTGCAATAGTTTCTGGGTCATTGTTTAAATCGATCAATATATTGTGTATGACCATCAGAGCTTCAACCATCATATAAATGACGTTGAGCTTGTATCTGGGAAAACTTTGTAGGGAAGTGAATCGTCCTTTGAGCATCCCAAATGCGTGCTCAATTGCAATACAGCAATGTGAGAGTTTGAAGTTAAAATCTCGGCGACAGCAAGACTCTTGAGGGTCGTTTGTACGTTTGTAATCAGTGAACAGGCAGATAGTGAACTGGGTGAGTGGGTAACCTATATAAAATCGAAACATTAATGAACCCTGTACTGTTCCAGGAGATTATGATGAACCAAATGGCACTCATGGTACAGATGGCATACCTTTATCAGCTAGAATATACTTGTCTCTATCAAAGTGCTCTGCTAGGAATCGCCATATCCTGGACTCTTTGAAAACAGTGGTGTCTTGAACATTTCCAGGCCAGCCCAAGTCAAACTCAGTGAAGCACTTTCTGTCGTCACAGACTGCCTGAAGAACGATCTAAGAGAAAGGACTATGAGAGAAATGCAAAAAGACAAAAAGACTATTATACTTACTGAATAGTACTTTTTTCTACTGAAGTAAAGATTTCCATCTTTCCTAGGTTTTGTAGCAAGTGGGATGAGTGAACTGTCCACCATACCAATACACCCTGGAAATCCTTCAGCTTGAAGATGTAATTTCAGTTCTAGACAAAGTTCACCAGTAGGCCAAGTAAGAAACTGAGGCCTGAGCTGGCAAAAAGCAGTACAGACACAGGCACAGTATAGAGGTACTGTGCCCACTGTAATGGATGATTGCTCTGTAACCTTAATGCCTGTTGTACCACTGTAACACAGTAGAAATACAGCAAGTTGCTCCCAATGAGGATGCTGCAGACGTTTACTAGTTCTCCTGAAGACCTCATCATCCTTGATGAGGTCACTGAGCATCTTGAATGAAGTATGGTCGACTCTAAAGAGACATGGATTAGAATGCAGTAGCATGTATATGATTCATAACCTTCAAGATGTACCTGAAGAATGCTTTGAAAATATAATCTGAAGTACCAAACAGCAAGTTATTGAGGAAATCCTCAGAGTGGGATGCACTGTATGAGCCACAAAATGAAGGGCAAGCACGAAGGAGCAGATGATGAGCTTCATATGCAAGAAGAAGGCTGAGGAGCAGGTCGAATTCAGTGTCAAAATGCAGAATACACAGGGTAGATAGAGCACCCATGCTCATGGCAAATTTATTACTGTAATAAGTAGAGCCAGGCATCTTGAAAGGAGAATGGAGAGTGTAAGATATACAAGAAAACAGCCTGTATATGCACTTAACACGCTCTTCCTATGTGGTCACATGACTGTGCTTCTTAGTATATTTCATGCTTCTTAAGGATTTACATTACAGTATACAATCAAATGTTTATTTTTTTTCAAACTCTGTATGTCTGCAAGTGTGAACAAGTGGGTTCAAGCACTTGCATACACTTGCAGACAGTTACACAGATCTCATCTTCATTTAGTATCTATTAAGGTATATACTACTTTGTCAAAACACTCTAAAATCTTCCTACTATCCTATAAGTGCTTCTACCAATTAAGGCCCTGCTTGGTTGCACTGGTTGCACAACTACAGGTTGGTGGTTGATGGCTGGCAATTTCTGGTACAACTGTCAACCACCAGTGCCAACCTTGTCACTTTGGTCACAAGTAGTATAGTGTATAGACTCATTACTTTCCCTTCATCTTTCATCATTTATCCTTTCAAATTAGTATATAATTATGTGTCCTAACATAAGTACTATACAGTGTAGATATAATTGAGACACAAATAAATAAATAGAAACATAAGTTAGGACTTTAGGTGTATAAATACACATATAATTAGGTATATATGACAGATATATTATATTATTATAGTTAGTTTGAACATTTAAAGCTTGGATTATTAAATTGCTAGTAGAATACAAGTAGGGAATACAATACAAGAGAGAAGTAGTAACAAGGAAATGTAGAGGACATAGTGTAACAGGTGTAGTAAGGAACAAGTAGTGTTACACAACTATGAAACCAGACATACAGCTGAGCATGTCTAATAGTTGATAGTTTACAACCACTAGTTGTGTAACTAGTGGTTGTGAATTTGGCAAGTACTAGTTGTGTAACTAGTGTAACTAAGTAGGGTCTAATTGAATTCACTTAATGTTTGAGTGTTAACAACAGAATTGAGACAAACATTACATAATTTAAAAAAGTACTTGTAGGAACAGTATATTACTAACAAATATTATTCTGTTTAGACTAAGATACACATTTAATAAACTTGACAAGAGTTACATACTTTTTACATTTAGGCTTTAAGTCCTACAGCCTATTTTTAGTTAGCTCTAATTGGCCACATGTAGTTCCTCTCACATTTTACTAAGTTAAAATAAAGTACTTTTCTTAAGAAAATAAATATTCCCCTCCTCTAATTCTAACTAAAACCTAACTTAACATTTAAGCCTAACAGTCCAAACTTATTCTAAACCTAATTAGAGTAGTAGAGCCTCTTCAAACCCTCCTCCTAACTTCTTACTCTGTTTATAACAAGGGCTACAGTATGTTAGGATTACATAAGTAGTTAGTCAGAGTTATCTTTAATTAGATTATAGAATTTAGAGTTTAAATATAAAAAGTTAAGAGTTCTTAACAAGTTAGTCACGTCACGGTCACAACCCTTGCTTACCAAATTAGGAAGGACCCTTATAGTAAAATTTTAGAGTGTAACTTTGACTTAAAGTTTTACCTTAGTCAAAAATGATTTTATATAATATAGAGAAGAGAATCTTACCTATTTTTAGATAAAATTATTATTGTTTTTATAAATATTGTTATATATACAATTTATAATTTTTGTTACACTAAATACACTCAAATACAAAATCTATCATAACTCAACTAATACTTAACTAAATTACATAATCTAAGTTGTAAAAATATACTTTTAAAGTGTTTTTCATATTCTAGAAAAAATAAAGTAAAATGAGCAAAATTTGAGTAAGATATAATACAATATGTGAGTTTTCCCTATATTTTATGTATATAAGTTTTTCTAACCCTAAAACTAATTATACAATACTATAAACTAGTCTAAATGAAGAATATTACTTTATTATTAATTTACATATTAAATTCTAGCTAGAGTACAGAGTATACATATAAGTATAGTACATATTTAAGTTTGTTAAAATTGAGTATTTTCTTTCAACCTCTCTATACTTAGGAAAGGTTCTTTTAAATATTATTTATGTTAGTAAATTTATTATAAATAAAATATATTAAATATAAGTACTTTTATAAGTTATATTAAAGTTATATAAGTTAGAGAAGTACTATTAGTAATAGTATAGAGAGGACTTAAAGACTTAGTAAGAGGACTCAAACTATAACTATTCTACACAATAGAAATACAGAATACAAACACTAGAACATAGTCAGAACTTACAGAACAGACAGAGAGAGAGAGAGTAAGATAAGAGTAGAGTATATAGAGTAAGTCTAAGAGTATAAAACTACTTAGAGTAGATAAGATTAAAACTATAGAACTAGTCTAATCTTGTACACTTATATATACTAAACTATATAAGAGTACTTAGAGAATAGTAAGCTACTAAGAATAATAAGCTATAAAGAATAAAAGAAAGAAAGGTTAAAGATAAAGGTACAAAGAATAAAGAGATAGACAAAGGGTAAGAAACTATAGAATGAATAAGGAATGAAGAAGTAGTTAAAGGAGTAGAATAATAAAGTAAGGAGAGGTAGTAGTAAGAGTTAGTCTGTATATAGTTTATAGACAGTACTTCTGAGAGACAAAAGTCCTGAGTTCTAGTACAAAAGAGTATAGAACTCTTAAAACTAAAGGTATAAGAGTAGAGAACTATAACATTACTCTCTCTCTAAAACCAATTATTCTAATTAGTAAACATTAGACTTAGTTAGTAGTTTAAGTATAGGTTGGAACAGTAGGGCTTAGAAATCTGTAAGACTGAGTTTGTGTAAAGTACTTGGATAAAGTTGATAGAAGTCTTAGATTGTTTTAAAAGTATAAGTAAGGTTCTTAGTAGGTTCTCAAGTGTGTTCTTTAACTAGGTACCCTTTCTAGTAAATAAGGTGTTACAATTCTCTACTCTCTTACCTTTAGTTCTAAGGGTTCTACACTCTTCTGTACCAGAACTCAGGACTTCTGTCCCTTAGGAGTACTGTCTATAAACTATATGTATACTGACTCTTACTACTACCCTTCCTTACTTCATCATTCTATTCCTTTGACTACTCCTTCATTCTCTGTTCATTCTATAGTCTCTTACCCTTTATCCATCCCTTCATTCTTTGTACCTTTATCTTTGACATTCCTTTCTTTCATTCTTTGTGACTTATCATTCTTAGTAGCTCATACTCTCTGAGTACTCTTGTGTAGTTTAATATATATAAGCATACAAGGTCAGACTAGTCCTGTAGTCTTAATCTTGTCTACTCTAGATAGTCCTGTACTCTTAGGCTCACTCTATATACTCTACTCTTGTCTCACTCTCTCTCTCTGCCTGTTCTATGAGTTCTGACTACATTCTAGTACTTGTGTTCTGTA